GTGGCAAAAGTTGATTGACTTAGTCTCTAGGCAGGAAGACAAAGGACAACCCATCTATGGTGGATTCTCCATCCGTCATGCTGGAGAACAACACCCTCCCTTTTAGCAGTGATGATGTTACCTAGTTGATTTAGGAAACGTCTACAGCATAACAACCAAGCTCAGAGAGCACCAAAGACCCACAGTCATCGTCGTTGTCGTCCTCCTCCTCCTCCTCCTCCTCCTCCTCCTCCTCCTCCCTTCTAGGTCTGATGACGTTCCCTAGTTGGGTCACAAAACATCTACCAGATAACAATCAAGCTCAGAGAGCACCAAGGACCTCACAATCCTCCTCCTCCTCCTCCTCCTCCTCCTCCTCTTCCTCCTCTTCCTCCTCTTCCTCCTCCTCATCTCCACACAGTTCTCCTCCTCCTCCTCCTCCTCCTCCTCCTCCTCCTCCTCCTCCCTTCTAGGTCTGATGACGTTCCCTAGTTGGGTCACAAAACATCTACCAGATAACAGTCAAGCTCAGAGATCACATCACAGTCCATCTCCTCTCCACACACCCCACTCCCTTCTAGCACTGATGATGTTCCCTAGTCGGGTCATGAAACATCTGCAAGGAAACCACCCAGCTCAGAGAGAGCACCAGGGACCTCTCATTTCAACCCTGAGCTATAAACATTCTCCTTTATTTACCCTCATTTCTTTACAGGTTACAAAAAAAATAGCATTTCTTTCCCAGTTCTGGCAAAAACCCGATCCCCCACCCCATCCCATCCATTCCTAAACCTTCCTTGTTTAAACCCTTATTTGAAAAGGGGGGGGGGCTTATATAGAAGATCAGAGGCCAGACAGCAAGAGGGGGAGGGAAAAAAAATTCCAGCCAATTCTTGCAATTTTTCCCTCTGTTTTCATCCAGACGGCTCTCCCTGGATCCTTCCAGCGAGGAAAAATAAATAAATAGAAATGAACAGGGGTGTGAGGGAGAAAGAGGGTAAAATAACTTTCCCATGAAAATATTTTATTTTCTTAAAGGACAGGATACACCTGCAAGGCTTTAAACCAAGAAATTTAGCCTCCCCCCCAAAAAAAAAGTTAATTGGTGGTTTAATGGATCCCTCTGCTGACAATGGTGGGAATTACAATATGATTTTTCACACCCTTCCCCCAAACTCCAATCACAGTTTTTAGCAAGTGACAAAACTTGTGCAGGGATTTTTTAGATAGTGTTTGTCAAATTTGGCAACTTTAAGAGGTGGCTGGGGAATTCTGGGAGTTGAAGGGCACCCCTCTTAAAGTTGCCAAGTTTGAAAAAAAAAAACAAAAAAAACATTGTTTTAGATCAGTGGTTCTCAACCTGTGGGTCGGGACCCCATTTGGGGTCGAACGACCATTTCACGGGGGTCGCCAAACAACGCAGTCCGCCATTTTTTTCCCCCTTTTCTTTGGCCACGCCCCTGGCACCCGGTGATGTATAAGTGGTTGGAGGTCACCACAACAGGGGGAACTATATTATGGGGTCACGGCATTAGAAAGGTTGAGAACCACTGTTTTAGATGCTTGAAATATCATCCAGTTTGGAAAAGATTGTTTTAGACCTTTGAAACATCATCCAATTTAATTAGAAGAGAGTTTTCTTGGATGGAGGGAAATTCTATCTAGGAAAAAAAAAAATCAGAATATAGATGTTGCCGACAGGATAAGAGGAGGGAAAGATCCCCACCCATTTATGATTTCCAGAAAGGAAATAGGAGAAACTGACCGGGCACAGATCAGACAGAGGAGGCAAAACCCAATTTCCAAATCAGCCCAGCTAGATTTCAAATGGGGTTGGGTGGATGGAAGGGATTTGCTCAGGAAAGGAAAGAAGAGAAAAGGAAAGACTGTTTATCTTTTCAGCTGACTTTGATTTCCTTCCCAGTGGATGCTAAAATATATACCAGAAATGCTATTTTAGCCTGGAGAGCAATGAAGAAACCTATACATTTGCAACTCCTGAAGCATCTGTGGAAATGCAGAGCCTAGCCAGAGGTCTCAGCTACAGCCTAAACGCATTACCAGTTGGATGGCAGCCTGTAGGGGGAGAAGGGTAACCTCCAGGAGAGACCACAGACCCACACCCCTGTCTTTGCAAAACGTCACTCATCTTTAAACGAGTAGCTTGCAGACGTCTGAAAACAGATATTCTAGATAAAATTATTTGCAGGTCTTTGATCTCAGTTTCTTTGTTGCACACCCACATACACACTCATACCAAAGAGAGCCTTCACCATTATCCCTTCCAGCTGGTTGCATTCTTTGCACCTCTGCAGTTTCAATTCCTTCCTTGCACACCCACACATTAATACTACTACCAAATTCCTTTCAGCTGCATTCATTACTGACACCTCTTCAATCTCATTTACCTCCTTGCACACCCGTGCACACCCACCACCCACATCAAAGAGAGACTTCTGCATTACTCCATCCAGCTGGTTTCCTTATCTGCACGTCTGTGGTCTCAGTTCCTCCCTTGCACACCCATGCACACACCTATACGTCGCCATTATAAGGCTATCATATTGCCTCCAGCTGTGTTCACCTCTGGGGGTCTCAGTTTCTTCCTTGCACACCCACGTGTAACACACCAAAGAGAGCCTTCACCATTATCCTTTCCAGCTGGCTCCATTCTTTGCACCTCTGCAATTCTTTCCTCGCACACCCACAGTAAAGAGAGCTCGCCATTAACAATACCGAATTCCTTTCAGATGCATTCATTCTTTGCACCTCTTTTATTTCAGTTTCCTTCTTACACACCCGTGCACACCCGTGCATCAGTCACGCCTTTCCCATCAGTTACCTCTTCTCCAACTAGTTGCAAAACCGCAGCTTCTGGAGTGCCAAGTAAAGAAATTTGCTATCGAAACTTCTCTAAAGATGCACAAGGAATATGAAAACATTTCCAATATTTGCCTCCCCCCCCCCGTGAAATCTGCAAGCTCACTCCTAAATGGATGGAAAGTTTAAAATGCAACAGACTTTTTTGCACACTCATTTCAGAATAACAGAATTGGAAGGGACCTCAGAGGTCATCTAGTCCAGCCCCCTGCTCAAGCAGGAAATCCTACACCATTTCAGACAAATGGCTGTCCAGTCTCTTCTTGAAAACCTCCCCAGGATACATCAAATTTAGCTTTGTTATTCCAATGCTATCCACTTGCCAATCTGGAATGTCTCTTATCATTGAGACAAGACACAATGGTTTGGTCTGGACTTCACAAACTATCATGCACAGCCACCCCACGTGACACAGCTAGAAAACTAAAGGAGAGATGGCCAAGTTTTTATCTACTGAAAAGTTAAATCATATTTGAAGAGTGGGTCAATCTGTCTGGGGAATTCTGGGAGTTGACGTCCACACCTCTTAAAGGTGCAAAACATTTCTTTAAAGTTGAATTAATATTAAATTCTTTTCGAATCTAATCGAATAGTTTACTACTATCCTGGGTCTTTTTATAAGATCATTATATTAACCAACATCATTTGAGATTTGTTCAAGGGGTCAGAATCAAACTGGGACACTGTTTCTCATTTATGTCACTGTTTCTTCAATAAATTAGTTCGAAGATGCATGAAACAGCCCAGTCAAGAGGAGTTAATCCCACATTTGATGTTACACCCTGAATTTCTTTTACAGCAAAGTTTTTCTTTGAATCAGCAGAAAATAACTCAGGCTGAATAATGAACTGCATTAAAGAATTTCCAAGAAGCATTTAATGTCAATTAGATTAATTATTCATACTCATGTCTCACCCATGTCTCCCATCAGTTTAGCTCCATGTGTCCAAAAAGAATTTTAAAAAATCTCAGATATGAATAGATTTAAAACACCAATTTCTCTTTCAAATGGAATCAGAAAGAACTTTAAAATAGTCCTGCCAACCTGCCTGGGTTTTAGTTTTTAATCTGCTGCTTCTAAACTAGGAATTGTCATCCTGGATATCTAACCAGGTTAGAGAAGGATACGGTCACAGAATATAAAATAGCAATTTTTGAAGGTTTTAAAAGGCAGAACAAGACTATCCCCATCTCCTTGAAATGTCTTAGCCAGCCTTATGGTCTTAAGCCAAACACTCTTTTTTAAAATCTGATCCATTGATAGTCATTCTATTAATCTACCAATTCTATTAATAATTCTCTTCCTTTCCTGCTTCCCCCATAAGTCCCTCACCCCCATTTCAAAAACGGGGCCACCGCCCACCTGTTCCCAGTCCCCAAGTTTGATCACAAGTGACTCAAAACACATCCCACGGCAGGGTGGATGCGATGGGCTTTGTAGTCCCACAAGGCCAGCCGACACCCCCGTGAAAGGGGCGGGGGGGAGGGGAGAGAGGGAATAGAAAGTTTGCCAAAGTTAGTGCTGAAAGTGACGCGGAGGTGCGACCGACCTTCGCGCTTTAAGCACCCAGCGCTGGCCGACTCGCGTGCGACTTGTTTGCGCTCCGTAGGGAGCAGAGGAAGCCAGACGAGGGGGATCCTCCACATAGGAGCGAGACAAGAGGTGTAAGGATCCCTGCCCTGGGCAGGGGGGTGCACTAGAAGACCTCTAAGGTCGCTTCCAGCTCTGTGGTTCTAAATGCTTAGCGCAAGGGAGCCCACCTACCCTGCGCGCCACAAACAGAGGAGGAAGGTGAGGCTGCGCGCGTGGAGGGCAAACTGGGGACAGGGCGCCGGCTGGCAATGGGGCAGCGCAAGTCGCCCCCCTCGCCCGTGGAGCTCCGGGGAGAAGCAGCCCCCATGGAAGTGAATGGAGAGTCTCAGTCACAGTTACCCCCAAAGGTGCTTTTTCAGGGCTTTCCAGTTGCCGCGTGAAAAAGCACCTTTGGGCCACTGGGGAACGCGCTTCCTGAGAGAGACGAGGAGACGCGCAGCCTCTCGTCCCGCGCAGCGCGATCCCGAAGAAGAGCAAGGGGAAACAAGAGCTGCCCCCCCGCGCAAGGCAATTTATCCTCCGGCGCAGTGCAGCGTGGGGCGCTCACCCGAAGTAGGCGGCGGAAAGGTCCGGGGCGCAGGAGAGCAGAACTAGGATCGCGCAGCAGGAGAAGAGTAGCCCTCGTCTCCGGGGGTGTCCATCCAGCATTTTGCTGAGGCTCTGGTGCTGAGCATCGCGTTCCTCCCGCCGAACCGGATCGGCGGCGGGCGACCGGGACGCCCCCTTTATAGGCAGCAGACGAGGGAGGGAGGGGGACGAGTCCAGCTGGGGGGGCGGGCTCGGGGAAGGGCCGCCCCCCGGGGGAGGCCCTGGAGGAGGGGGGAGCGGCGCAAGAGGGGAGGGGGCAAAGGCAAGAAGGAGGGGATCGGAAAGAGAAAGGGAGAACGGGAAACTGTATGGAGAAGGAAGGAAGGAAGGAAGGAAGGAAGGAGCCGAGAAGGAAAGGAAGGAGAATAAGAAGGAGCACATAAGAGAAGGAAAAGTGGATGGAAAAGAAAGAGGGAAGAAAGAAAGGAAAGGGGAGGAAGAGGAGGAGAAGTAAGGAAGAAGGGGAAAGGGGACAGTGAATGAAAAAAGAGGGAGGGAAGGAAGGAAAGAGAAGAGGATGAAAAGAAATAGAATAGAAGGAGAGAGTAAGGGAAAGAAGCAGAAAATGGATGAAAGGGAAAGTGAATGGAAAAGGAGGTGAAAGGGGGGAAAAGGAGGAGAGAGGGAAGGAAGGAAGGATAAAAGAATAAAGAAGATGGAAGAAGAGAGGGAGAAAGGAAGATCCGGGGGGGGGAGGAAAAAAGGAATGTGGTAAAAAAGAGAAAGAAAGACAGGAAGGAAGAAGAGGAAGAAGAGATCTGACTGAATGGATCCAATTTTGCACCCAGAACTGTTAGGGATACTTCTCCATTTTTTGGTGGGGGGACCCCAAGAGCGTCAACCCAACTGGGGGGGCTTCCCAACCTCCCTTCTAACTGATGGTACGCCCCAAAATCGCATCCTTGTGGCTTAGTCCTCCAAACCACAGCTCAATCTCCTTTTAAACAGATGCAAAGATTCTGTCATATATCGGATCCAGACCCTTTCTAGTGACCAGACCCCTAGATCCTGGGGGTGCCAAGGGAACCCCATCAGCATCATCACCCCGATATCTAAGGCAAACCCCCAGCCAGACTTTTCCCCTTCAGGTCTCTAGGCTGCAAAGTGGTTTGCCAGTCTGTTCTCTGGAAGAGTGTTTGATTTTCCATCCTAGAATCTCCGAGTGGCCTCCCATCCAAGTACTAATGCAAATTGCTTTGCTTTTAGGACAGTGCTGTTCAGCCTTGGCAACTGTGAGGACTTTGGCTCCCAGAATCCCACAGTCAGCATATGTTGACTTCGGTTCCCAAAAATTCCAGTCAGCACGTATGGACTTCAACTCCCAGAATTCCACAGTTGCCATCTGTGAACTTCAACACCCAGAATTCCAGTTGGCACACATGGACTTCAATTCCCAGATTCCCACCGTTGACGTATATGGTTTTCAATTCCCACAATTCCACAGTCAGCCTTCCCAAGCAGTCGAAGTTACAATGGCATTCAAAAGAATGACTTATGACTGATCCTCACACTTATGACCGTTGCAGCATCCCCCATAGTCAGTGATCAAAATTCAGGCATTCGGCAACTGGCTAATATTTACTATTTGTGACCTTCCCCGCTGGCTTCGACAAGCAATGGCGAAATCCAGATTCATTTAACGACCATGTGGTTCACTTAACAACCTCAGCAATTCGTTTAACAACCATTGCTGTAAAATCGGTGGGACTCACTTAACCAGCCAGAGAAATCCTGTCCCTGATTGTGGTCGAAAATTGGGAATTCCCCTATAATGACTGAAGGGTTTTGGGGGGGGGGGTTAGCTGATCCTGCATCATTCAGTTTGAAAGTACGAATCTGCTTTCCCTTTAAAATGATTTTGTCAATGATTAATCAACTTGGGCTGAGCCTGTCACTCTTTTCAATTCATCCAACCAGGTTTAACCAACCAGCTTCAGCCGGTTCCCTGGGCATGAATTGAATCTGATCAAACCAAACCTGGGCACTGTCCAGTTGGACAGTCTGGCGAGAACTGGATGCCTTCATTGTCCACTGAGGATCGTAACCTCGTCCCTAACAAACCAGCATTGGGAGCATCCTGGCGCTTTCAAAGCGAACAAAACCCACCAGCCAGGGAGAGACTGTGGTTTGCTTTATGTCGTATTCTTGCCTGTGGCACTCCAGGAATCCATTGGCACGCGTCGAAGAGGCACATGCGAATTAGCACCACTTCTCGGGGAAGGGAAGGGAGGTTTTTGAAGCCGGGCGTTACATCATGGTTTCTCAAACTGGGCGACTTGAAAAGGGGGGGTGGACTTCAATTCCCAAAATCCCCCAACCACTACATCTGAACTTTAATTCCCAGAATGACACAGCCAATGTGCGTGGACTTCAGCTCCCAGAATTCCCGAGCCAGCCATTGGGTGTGATCTCCTGGTGGTCTCCCATCCAAACTCTTTATTTTATAGTTTTATTTTATCCGATTGATTTCAGAAGTGTGAACTTCAGCTCCCAGGATTCCCTGGGGAAGCTCCCGGGGACGTCTCAGCATCCATACCTCTGAAATCCAGTCTCTGCAGTGCATGTTTTGCAATCATTAGAAACCTAAAAGTTAAAAAAAATAAAATTAAAAATAATAAACCCAGGTTTAGCACCCCAGATCAGCGGAAGGCTAGATGTCAGTTAAATTTGAAGCACTCCTAAATTACCACTACATTTTGGGAGCCATAGAATCCTAGGACTAGAAGGAGGGGCCCTCCCCTTGAGGTCATCTAGTCCAGCCCCTGCTCAGGGCAGGAAATAGATGTAGAATCACCCTGCAAGGCATCTAGGCAATTTCCAAATGTGATAAACAAATAAAGAAATTCTAGGTTGTTGGTTCTCACCTCAATGTTCTCAAAGTTGTTTGTTTATTTATTCATGATTTATTATTTATGAAATTTATTTCTTAAACTTTTTCATTTCTTGCCCTCTGGTCGGGACCTAATAAGACAGTCCTCAAATTATAACCATTCGTTTAACAATCGTCTGAAGTTATGACCACCGTAAAGAAAGGGACTGATCATCTGTCCTCGCTCTTGCGACCGTCACATGTCCCAAGTCACATGAACAGACTTTGGGTACATGGCAAGTAGAACACATTTACGACGGTCGTAGCATCCTGGGATCACGTCATCCCCATTTATGACCTTCCCAGCCAATTTACGACAAGCCAAACTAATAGGGGAGGGAGGCAAGTCAAATTCACTTAACAACTGCAGTGATTCACTTAACAACCATAACAAAAAAGTCACAAAACCTGTTTCAGCTCGACTAATGTCCACCTTGCTTAGCAACAGAAATGCTGAATTCAATTCTTCTAATTTAAGTGACTCACTTAACAACCACGGGGGGGAAAAGCTCATAAAAATTTCTGTTGTTAAGTGAGACATTTTGACCGTTTTACCACTTTTCTCATCCCAGCTGTTAAGCGAATCCCTCTAGTTGTTAAGTGAGTCACATAGTCGTTAAGTGAATCTGGGTTTCCCTCTTGAGTTTGCTATTCAGAACGTCGCAAAAGGGGATCACGTGACACACACACTCCAGGATGCTGCGACCGTCATAAGTATGAGCCAATCCGAATTTTGACCAGGTGACCACAGGAGTGCTGCGACAGTTGGTCATAAGTCCCTTTTTTTTTAGTCCCGTGGTAACTCCCATCGCTAAACAAATGGTCGTAAAGCGAGGACTAGCTTTATTTCGCCTGCCATTTTCAGGATTGGCAAGAAGATGCTAAAATTTGCAAGTCTTTGCAATTTCTCTGGTTGGCAAAGTTTTCTGCCCTTTTCAGAGAAATTAGAAAGACTTTCTAAAGCAGACAGGTGTTCTGTAAGGAAGAGAAAAGAAACAAGAGAAAAGATTCTTGAATTTCGCTCGATTTTTATTATCGCCGTTTTGCGTGGGTGTCTTTCTTTTTATTTAATCCCCTTATGTAAGGTGCCGGATCTCAGCGTCGCTCAGACAGGGCTTCTCCGGCTGACATTTTAAAGAAGCCAAAACTGGACTTCAGAGGAGCAAGATACAGTTAGTCCTCGATTTACGGCTGTTGGTTTAATGACCCAACTTACGACGGCACTGAAAAAACAGGGACTTAGGACTGTTTTTCTCACTGACGACAGTTTCAGCCATTCCTCGTGGTCATGTGATCAAAATTCAGACATGTGACCACTGGCTTCTGTTTATGACGGCCACAGTGTCCCGTGATCCCCTTTTACGACTGTTTCAGCATCCCCCTGGTTACATGACTTAGATGCTAAGCAACGGCCCGTTGTTAAGTAAGGTGGTTGAGTTTTGCCCCACTTTATGACCTGCCTTGCCAGAGTCGTTAAGCGAATCACTGAAGTTGATAAGTAAGTAACACAGTCGTTAAGTGTGAGTCCGACTTCCCCATTTTCTTTGCTTGGCAGAAGGTCGCAAAAGGGGATCACATGACCCCGGGGCACTGCAACCGTCATAATTATGAGTCAGTTGCCAAGCATCCGAATTTGGATCACGTGAACACGAGGATGCTTCAACAGTCGTAATTGTGAAAACGGTGGTATGTCCCTTTTTCCAATGCCGTTGTATCTTTGAACGGTCAATAATTGAATTGTTGTAAGTAGAGGATTCTCTGTATTTCTTACCCAGCTTGGTGCTTCCTGCTTTTCAATCTAGAGAGCTGACAAATCGTCATCTGATGTTTTAGGTGTCTGCAGCTCTTTTTAACTAGGTTAGTCAATGATTAACCATTGACTGTTCACCTATTAAACCTAAAAAAATATATATAAAAAAATGAATCCAGCCTTTGAGATGATCCTGATAATAGGATAGTCCTCGACTTACAACAGTTCATTTAGTGATGGTTCGAAGTTACAACAGCACTGAAAAAAGCGACTGATGATCGTTTTTCACACTTAAGATTGCTGCAGCCTACCCCATGGTCAGGTGATCAAAATTCACACACTTGGCAACTGATTTGTACTTATGACAGTTTCAGCATCCCGGGGTCACGTGATCCCCTTTTGCGAACTTCTGAGAAGCAAAGTCAATGGAGGAAGCCCAGATTCACTTAACAACCATGTGACTCGCTTAACA